TGGTAGCTCATGGTGGTTTTGATTTGCATCTCTGATGGCCATTAATATTAAACACTTAACGTGCTTATTATTAGTCATTTGCATATCTTTTTAAAGTATTTTGCCTTTGTAAAAAAAAACTTGTTTGTCTCTTTATTCCTGAGCTGTAGGGTTCTTTATGTTCCTTCTGGATACCAGTCCTGTGTCAGATACACGTTTTGCAAATATTTTTTCCCAGTCTAGGGCTTGCTTATTTATTTTCTTAGTGGTATCTTTTAATGATCAGAAGTTTCTCATTTTGATGAAATCTAACTTATCAGTTTTTTTTATTTCATGGTTATTTTCTCTTTTTATGTCTTCAAAACTTTCCACATGCCAGGTTACAGAGCAGAGATATTCTCTCTTTCAGCTGTATTATGGTTTTAGCTTTTACATTTTAGGTCTACGATCCATCCCTAATTAATTTTGTGTAAAGTATGAGGTAAGGGTTAAGGTTCATTTTATTTTCCCATATGCATAGTTAGTTGTTTTGTGCACCATTTGTGAAGACTTTCTTTTCTCGTTGAATTATTCTGATGTCTGTGTCAAAAATCACTTGTAAGTGTTGGCGTCTTTCTGGATCCCTTTGTTCTATTGTTGATCTGTTTGTGTGTGTTTATAGCAATACCATTGCTGTAGCTCTATAGTAAGTCCTTTTTAAAAAATATTTTTTTATTCTTCAGTTACAGTTAACATACAATATTATATTAGTTTCAGGTGCACACCATGGTGATTAGACATTTATATAACTGATGAAGTGATCACCCTGATAAATGCAGTGTCCATCGGATACCACACATAGTTACTACACTACTACTGACTATATTCCCCATGCTGTACTCTACATTCCCATGACTATTTTGTAACTACCCATTTGTACCTCTTAATCCTCTCCCCTATCCCCCCAACTCCTCCATCTGGCGGTCATCAAAATGCTCTCTGTATCTGTGAACTTGTTTTTGTTTTGTTTATCCTGTTCTCTAGATTCACATGTAAGCGAAATCATATGACATTTGTCTTTCTCTGTATGACTTACTCCACTCAGCACAGTACCCTCTAGGTCCATCCATGTTGCAGATGGCAAGATTTCATCCTTTTTTTTTTTTTTTCCCAAATGGCTGAGTACTAGTCCATCGTATGTATGTACTACCTCTTTATCTATTCATCCATTGATGGACCCCCAGGTTGCCTCCATATCTTGGCTACTGTAAATAATGCTGCAGTGAACATATGGATGCACATGTCCCTTTGGCGTAGTGTTTTGGGTTTCTTTGGATAAATACCCAGAAGTGGGATTACTGGGTTTTTCTTTGTCTCTTGTCGTATAGCCTTTGTTTAAAGTCTATTTTGTCTGGTATGACTATTGCTACCCCAGATTTTTTTTTTGTTCCCATTTTCATAAAATATTTCTCCATCCCTTTACTTTCAGTCTGTGTGAGTCTTTCAATCCAAAGTGATTCTCTTTTAGGCAGCATATGTAAGGGTTTTGTTTGCTTAGCCATTCAGCCACCCTATCTTTTGATTGGAACATTTAATCCATTTACATTTAAAGTAATTATTGATAGATATGTAGTTATTGCCAATTTATTATTCATATTTTGACCTGTTTTTCTTCTTCATAAAGAAACCCCTTTAACATTTCTTGTAATACCGGTTTGGTGGTGATGAACTCCTTTATCTTTTCTTGCCTTGGAAGCTCATTATCCCTTTGATTCTAAATGATAGCCTTGCTGGGTAAAGTCATCTTGGTTGTAGGTCCTGGCTTTTCATCACTTTGAGTATTTTGTGCCAAGCCCTTCTCACCTGCAAAGTTTCTGTTGAGAAATCAGCTGATAGTCTTATGGGAGCTCCCTTGTAGGTAACTAATGGCTTTTCTTTTTGCTGCTTTTAAGATTCTCTTTGTCTTTAACCTTCGGCATTTTAATTATGATGTGTCTTGGTATGGGCCTCTTTGGTTCATATTGTTTGGGATTTTCTATGCTTCCTGGGCATGTATGTCTGTTTCCCTCACTGGGTTAGGGAAGTTTCCCATCATTATTTCTTCAAATAGGTTTTCAATTCCTTATTCTCTCTCCTCTCCTATCGATGCCCCAATGATGTGAATGTTGGTACACTTGATGTTGTCCCACGGGCCCTTTAAATTATCCTCATTGTTTTGGGTTTTTTTCTCATTGCTATTGGGTGATTTTTGCTACCTTCTCTTCTAAATCACTGATGTGTAGTAAGTCAAAGTCAACTTTTTTCTTCAAGATTGTGTAGCTCTTTCAGGTTCTTAGCATTTCCATATTAATTTTAGAATCATCGTGCCAAATTTTATTATTTATTCATTAATACTGATTATAAATTATTTAAATGCCTGCTGGGGTTATGACTGGGATTGTATTCAATCTGCAGATCAATTTTGGTAAGTGGCCATCTTAACAATGTTGAGTCTTGCAGTCCATGGACATGGTGTGTCCCCTTTCTGCCTGGCAGTGGACGGCTCTTTGGATAAAATGTGATTGTTGGGATAAGGCATGTAAGATGCTTAACACACTTAGCCTGGCATACATAATAATCTGCCCTGTAATGTTAATATTTATGATTAATTCCATTAATCTTCACAAAGCCTTATAAAGTACCTTCTATTTGTATCCTTATTTTACTCAGCTTGGAGCTTGACCGTAGCTACACAGCTAGTGAACAGCCGGCAGGTTTGGAATGAGGTCTTTATGACTCTCAAGGCTGTGCTTGTAAGAGCCTTGAATGGCATTTCCCTGCGTTTTGGGGATGGTCTTATGTATTGGGTTAAGGTTAACCCAATGGTTTAAGAAGCACAGGAATTCAGTGAGGGCATGAGTTCATAGTGAAGGAACCCAGGTCACTCATGATCTGGTCATAGTGCAGGTTGGAATGGGCGATCCTGCGTGGGACCCCCAGGTGGAGGAATCACCAAGCACTTTGGGGAGCTGTAAATGGTTCCTAAGTGCATTTTGTCTGCTAATTTCTGGATTTTTCTCTGTTGGCAGTAAAACGAAAGTGCAACTTCATGAAAATTGAAAGCCACATGGCAAACCCTCAGCCAGTGGTTAAACTAGCAGGCGATTATGCTGTCCCCTTCTGTGTGTTTTTGTCTATTGTGACATGGAGTCTAGATGCAGAACAAGGTTTGCGTCGTGTCTTTGCCACTTACTTACCTGCAGTGTGGCTTTGGGCAAGATGCTCGTAACCTCTCTGTGCATAGTTTTCTCACCTGTGGATTCAGAAAACTGTAATACCTAATTAACAGTGTTATTCTAAGGTGTTCTTTTAAAGTAGTTTTTTAGTTACTGTGCATAAAGAGCTTCGCACAATGCTTGGTGTACAATAAGTACTCAAAGAGATTATGTATTTTATGCACACACATTTCCACACACATGTTCGATGTGCACATTGTTTAAGTGTGAGAAGGGCTGTTTTGTCTCGGAAACAAGCGGTTACAGAGGGTTGGCGGAAAGGCTGACCTTTTAAGATACTGCACATGCTACAGAACTTGTTCTGAAGGGGACGATTTCTGGTGACGACAGGATGACAGCAGTCCTTGCTTCCTGCAGAGCTGTCGTGTTTCTTAGCTCGGACCACTGCCATTGAGATGTTATTGGCGGTTGTACTTTCGGATCCATTTTCTGCAGTGTCCTGAGGACAGCCACATGAATGAAGTCCCGGTGTTTTGTCTGGCCAGCCGACGGTCTCGCTCGTGCACGTGGCTGCGCGGTGACGTGGAGCAGGGCAGAGCCACAGCTGGTCCGTTCTGATTGTCATTACTGCGCCTCCTCCGGGCGCGCGTCTCAGTCCCTGCCCGCCTCTGTCGAGCCCCGCCCCGTTGCCTGGGAAGGGTCAGCGTCATTGGCATTCGCTCCCACTGGAGGGAGGAGCGGGGAAGCCGCGCAGTTCTTGCGAATGACTCAGCAGCCTCTGTCCTTGGAACGAAAGTCAGACTGTGGGCGTCCGGCAGCGTGCGGCCCAGGCCAGCTGCGCCCTCCTGCGGGTCCCACGCGCTCGGCCTCCAACCGGATGTCCCACTCGAAGTGCGCATCGTGTCATAGAGGAGGCCGCCGGCAGAGCGCTGGCTTCCCCGTGGGCTGCACGTGAGAACTGCCCCGTTTCAGAACGGGGCTCTGGCTCCCATGGCTGCAAGGCTTCTTCGGTTTTACCTCGTCCCGTGAAATCGCCACCCTCGGGTCAAAGGACGTTGGCTCTTCTCCTTTCTCCTTCTGTCTGCTTTGCCTGTGACTTACGTCTGACTTTTGTCCGGGTGTCGCTTTCTGAAGTCTTCTGAACAAGTGAAGGTGTCGTTATGTTGCCACGTGCGATGGTCACTTTTCAGGAGGTGCGAGAATGGGCACGTGGAGCTCAGCTGCACGAAGGCCCCCCTCACAGGAGCCGCGGAGTGCGGACTGTGGGCTCCGCCGGCCCTTGGTGGCCAGGCTGCTCTTAGCTTGAGCTTGCCCGAGGAGGGGCGAGTCCTCCCGTCTCAAGCATGTGCAAGGGCTTTGACTTGTTTACATGCGTGTGCAGAAGTGTTTACTTTAGGCGTGTGTCCATATGCAGTGGCCCTCATACCCCTGTCACTCTTTCACGTTCATTGTCCTTTCTGGGCCATTTCTGGGGTCTGCTTTCTTAGGTTCCACAGTTCTGGTTTCCCATTTTCACTGAAGTCAGCTTCATCAGACCAGAAGACCTTCTCCCCCAGTGGCAGGGTGGGTAACAGCTCACCCCAAATCTCCTGGCTCACCTATAAGGTCACTTTCCTGGAGCCCCCACTCACTGCTCTGTCTCTGGACTGCAGGCACACTGTGCTGGCCTCGAGCCCGCCACCTGGATTAGCTATGCCAGCATGTTCCTCCATCAGAGACTAGTAGTTGCCATGTGAGACATTCTTCATGGAACAGCAAACTTGAAGAATCTTGACTTACTGCCCAGCATTGGTATATAGTAATCTAAAAAATATTAAATCTTTTCAGGATGTATTGAAAATGGATACGTGAAACTCATTGTGATAAGGTTTAAAAATAACACAGAACACCTACCTCTTATTGGAAAAGTTGGCTTCACCTGGAGGACTGATATTTTTGACGGCTATATAAAGGTAACTTGTTTTCTTTTCTTAAAGTAACCTGGTTTTTGTATAATAAAAAAAAATGCCTGTTGAAGTATATGTATGAACTGTTTTAAAAGTCCTAGATTTATTAGTCTGGTGTCTGAAGATTTAAGCATATCCTCAGCCATTGGCAGTCGGTTGATTCATTCGTCAAATGCTTCTTGAGTACGTTCTGTTTGTGGTGGAGTGTAGTGGAGGAGGAGAGGCAGGCGCCATGCAGCAGCCTTCTGAACAGTGTTGGTGGC